CCTTTTATTTAGGCGCAAAGCGTCTCACAGGCTCCGAGTCTGACCGCTACTAAAGCAGCATGTGGTCAGCGTCTTATTGCTCATGTAAAGGCAATCACAACTCTGTATCGTGCTCTCATTTCAGAGAAAAGTGCATGCTGACTATGAACGTTCGATGAAATGTGATATCTATTCATCAACAAATTAATCAAGGTTGTCTCAACATGCACTTTAACAAGCATATTGCTCCTAAACTTTGCAGCTGCACAGGCTACATTGCTGACGGTCCTAGACATTACCAGTTTAGGTAGTTTTTCCGAGACCTTACGAATGAGGACAATTGCGTAAGGGCAAAGAGTTTGTGCGAATTATTCATGTAAATGACTGCCTTCCATAATTACTTAAACGGATACGGATCTAATTCTACGAAAACTTGGAAACGGTAGCAAAAATCCAACTGCCTATGTTCCATATGCTGTGGCTTTGCTTTTTGTCACCGAAAATCTTGCGTCAATGCGGAAGAGAGACTACGGCTTTGTCCCAGCAGCTTCTGCACCCAAAAATGCCACGTGCGAGGCGCCTGGGTGTCGCAAAACTCCGGCAACTCAGCACTACCAAGGTGCTTAGCACAAAAATCCGGTCCCGTTTTACGACCCGAGCCGACGGCGAAGGTAGTAGCAAATGGTCATTGCCGAAAACATCTATCTATGGGGCAGATGAGGAAATTTTTGGACTCACTCAGCGGTGCTGCAGTGACTGGATCAGCGGAAGAAGGGATTACCGGCAGAAGTATTGATCCGAAACAGTGAATTCCATGGAGCAGGCCTCAAATGTTGATGGTACTCGAAAACTCCACCAGATTATCCACCCAGTTACTGGCAAGCCTGTGACTTCATTCGCGATGTGAATGGCAGCTTTATTGCTGACAACTCCGCCAAAGTCGAGCGCCGGCGTGAGCACTTCGAGCACCTCGTTAACTTTGATGAGCAACACATCATACCCGCCCTCTCCTCCGCAGCGGAGTTTCAACCCTCTCGAACCTATGCAGTGTCGTGTGACCTCCTTTCTGAAGGCTCCATGAGTTGATCGAGCAAGCGTGGAGAAATGAAGTAATTTCTAATGACCAGAGTTCGGGTATTCTTATGCCTGTCTTCAAAAAGGAAGATAAGACGAAGTGCGAGAACTATTCCGATATAATCTTTACCAACCTTGCTGCGAAGGTCTTTACTGTTATCTTTCCCAGAAGATTCCAGTCTGTATGAGACTTTAGGACGAGGTCTAACCTAGCCCGAGTTGTATTGAGATGCATTCTGAAATTCTGCCATAACTGCTAGCAACTGATGGCTGTCTGCTTTCTCGACTTCGTAGCTGCGTTCGATTCCGTCCACCACGAGTCTCAGTGGCAAAGAATGGAACTAGATGGAGTACCGACCTAAAGCATTGTCATGATTAAGGCGTACTATCACTCCACCATCGCGCGGGTTCTGGTCCACAAGAATCTCTTCCAATCGTTCAATATCCGGTCTGGTGTCCGACAAGGCTGCATCATGTCGGCCATTCTATTTAACTACGTCATTGACTGGATTCTTGGGAAGGCTCTACATGAAGAGGATGGTCTGGAGCTTGCACCTGGACGACGGCTGACTGATCTCTACTACGCCGATGATATCGTCCTGCTAGCCTCGAGCTTTGGTGATCTACAGTCT